ATAATATTTTCAATAATTAATTAATTAAATCTAACATAAAATTCAGATTGTCCATTTCTGAAAACCTTGTGTTCAAGTTTTGTCTGATCAAACAGGAGTGTCTTACATAGTTTGGATCATACTTTCTAATTAATCAAATGAACAAAAAGAAAGAAAATTAACCAAACAGTTTTAACTGCCAAGCTCTTTCTTTCAGAAGTAATATTCTTAATAACAAACTATTCATAGCAAAATATCTGTTAACAGTTTCGAGCATGGATTACCAACCAGTCTATTGCTTTTCTCACGATCTTCTGTAAATATGTCTACAATTAATCTTCTTCTAATTGTTCAAAGACGTTGAAAATTTTCTCTGCGAATAACTCACAATGTTCGAAAGCGTTTACCAAGCGTTCAAATTCATTCACACTAATAAGATAATAATTAATAATATGAACAACGAACGATTTTCATATTTTCACTAAACAAAACAAAGATAGTGTCTCATCATTGTATTCAATAAAAACTTCCGCAAGAAGATTTTGCAATGTATAATGGATAGTTCTCTCTAAATTCGTTAAAAGTTCTTCTAAGGAAAAATGTTTGACAGAAATCAAGGATTATGTGTAATGAATTTAGTCGAATACTTTTGAATCATTCGCGTCAGTATGGTAGACAGTGTAGTAATATGACTTTGCCGATTTCAACGATCAATTAACTCCAAAGCAGATATGTTCTTTATCTTTATCTCATGACTTTACTATTTCATTGCTTTGAACTTACTCTGCAACACAAAAAACGAATGCAAATAAAGACTCATTTTCATACAAAAAAATAAACTACGGTGTGCATACGAGTGCCGGTATAGATGTCATACAAATAGTCAGCACTAGTCCCACATTCAGATGCACATATCCGCCCATTTTCGAGTACTATCCGAAAGCTGCTCAAAAATCATACCATGAACTTCACCGGCTAAACTTCGTTGCTCTATGTAAAAACATACATCAAACCTCTTTGTCTACATCCAGAACCGTTTAATTATAAATACAACACCAATGTTTGCAACACAAAAACATTAATCATGAAATATCTAAACAAATTTATAAAAAACCATTACCATATGATCTTCGATCAGCTGACCGAGTAGCAAAGTTTGCTTCGAAGTGAGCAAAAGAGGTGAACAGAAGTGTCTTGATGAATGTTCGTTTGCCATGTGATCTTCGATCAGCTTACTTCTCTGTTGTATGTCGAATATTTGAGTCCCTTACCGTCCGCAGAAATTGAGAATTGTGTGTAATTTATGAAAGACTGAATCTGAGGCTTGGTAATTGCCGGTGTTGAAGTATGTGCTTTTTTGCAGTTTACTTGATCTGTTAATGGTGTTTCGATTGGAATTCAGGTGAAGACTTTTCGGTATTTTGATTGTTAGGGTAGCATGTGTAGATGAGGTTGACTAGTAAATGTGTACTTGGTGTTGATGGTTGTTTTTCTTCAGATTTCTCGTTGGTGTAGGCTTGTATTGAAGCGAAAAGAGTATATGGTGATGTGAAGAGTCCATCTGATATCAATGATTCGCAAGTTGCTGGAATAGGTGTTGTGTTTTGAAGTATCGTGATTGAGTGATGTGAATGTATAGCAGAATGTGTAATTGGGATATGTAAGCATAGGGGAAGAGGAAGAAGCGAATAGCTGAGCCGATGTATGTGTTGAGCAGGTTTGATTTAGGTTTGGGAGCTGGTGGCAAATTGTACAACTATGGAGTACTGTGAATGGGAATTAAGAATTGTTTTACGTCGCAACACCGTTTTGATAGTCGAATCTAGTTGCACTTTACCTGAGTGGTTGACATTTTTATTCAGGTATTTACAGTAAACTTATTCTTTGTGTAACCACTGGGGAGGGTGGTCCATCTGTTTTGTGTTTGGTCGATCTTATGTCCGTTGGGTATTGGTACGATGATTCTGGGTTTCGAAATTTCGCGGTAGATTGTTTTTGACTAAGTAAATGAAACTTTACGATCTCGAAAGTTGGCAAACAATAACATTTTGTGTTGTTTTAGCGCGAAGTCGGTCGTTCGTATAGCGCTCTCGGAGAATTAACTGCGTGAGATGAAAAGCAAACATTGTTTTTTTTTCTTGTTCATTGATAGTTAATAGTAAAAATACTTCAACATTACAAATCCAAGTTTAAACAATGTCAATAAAAGTATTCTGAAAAGCCACTTGTGTTTATTTAGCCAAAACACTTGTTTTCTTCTCAGCGTTGCGAAAGAAACTCTGAAGAATTTTAATCAAATGGAGATTATCTGGTTGCTTAGATTACATGCTTCAGTGTTCCGTTCATATCGTTCCTACGCTAACATCTACTCTAAGTCTAATGAATTTTTCAAAACATTCAAATGCAATGTCCATGGGAATTGGTGGGATAAATCGTCGTTATTGAGTTTAATAAACTTTGACCTTTATAGTCCCTCAATCAAAATCGAAGTGTTACTTAGAACAGTTTTAAGTCAAATCATCATTTTCAGCATTATCATTGGTGCAATGAAATTTTCGAAAAGGTTATTTTCGAGAAAATGAAGTAATTTTCTCCTCGACAAATTATATAAAGCCAATATAGAAAAAACTGAACTGGAATTTGATCGATTCAATCTCTTTTATTTCAACTGAAGCTAATCATGAATCAAAATTCTTATCTTGATTTCCCTTGAACTACCTCAGATTAGATTATCTCGAAGTCGCTTTTCATTTGCCGAATCTACAACCCATCATTGGCTGTAACGATCGACAGTAGGACTTATTACTTCTAACTGTTCCACCTGGATCACCTTTTTGATTCTGGTAGTATACTTATTTTAACGTAAGGCAACGCAGTAATTATGTTTTGAATTTATGCATTTCATAGTTTTAATTTAATTTAATTCATTTGATGCTTTCTATTTTAGAAACTTAGTATTTATGGATTATTCATTTAGTTTCTCTTTCAAATATTCATCTTGGAATTATATACATTTTCGGAATTATATATTGAGGACGAATACTTTTCTAACACCTTATAATCTCATCATTATCAATAATAATCACGGTTAACCCTGTGAGTAGCCGGAAATAATATGTAAAAATTAGCGCTAGATAGTTTTATTCGTTGTTCTCTGTGATGGCAGTCATGTACAAAACATATATTGTGTGACAATAGATAGCCTTTTGTGTCGGTTCAATCTCATATAGTTCATTTAAGCACGAAACAACTTTCAAGTTATTCTTCTTTATCGTTAAATGCTGAGCGCTTGTTTTATCAGCACATATATATTGTTCTCCTGCTTCTTTCATTTCTCATTAGTATATTATCAATGAACGAATGATAGAAGAGAGAGAAAATAAACAAAATTATGTGAAGAAGAGAAAAGAGAAGAGAAGATGCAGCGATTTTTTTCTTTTGAGTTACACGTAAATAGAGCAATACTTTTTACATTGCTGAGAATGAGCAAATGAAAGTGACTTGCTCACTGTTCGTGTCAATGCACGCTACATAACTGACATGGATATTGTGAATAATTTTAATAGTTCTCAAGTCTTGGAAAACGTTAACATAGCATTGGTTATTTATGATAATCAATTCAGTTTGTTCTTGTTGATATCGAAGATTTGATCTACTTCTGAGAATTATAAAAATAATGAGATATGATGTCTAAATTTCGTCATGAAAGTCATCATACAATTTTTCTAAAGACACTGTTATTTTTAAATACGCTCTCAATAAAAAGTCAACGTTATTTTTACGCTTCATTGGTTGTTGTTTATATTGAAAGAAATAGAAACCTTGAACAGAAAAAAATGCACTACTCCGTCTACGATCAATGAGTTTATATCAGATAATGACAGTTCCAGTTGAACAATCGAGGAAAAACTCAAAAAATTGGTGAATAATGTACCAATCTAAACGCAAACAACGATGAATTTTCTTTTTCATTTTATTGTATTATATTTGCCGGGGCTAAGAAAATAATTTTAATTTCAACTTAAATCAATATTTTATACACATATGAAAAAATAAATAAACGAATTTAAATGATGTATAATTTCAATGTATTAAAATTTATTTTGTTTTTCTAAAGTATCAATTTAAAAAAGAAACACTGTTTTCCATCGCATATTGACACCAACTAACAAAAACAACACTTAAACGTCAATCTATTGAATAGTATTTCGTAACAATATTTTAATTTTGAACGAATATCACACGTGTCATCAGGAAAATCAAACGTAAAAATATTTCAATATTTCCTATGCCAACGACACAAGATATGAGCCATATTTAATATTAACTATTTTTCGTAGAAAATCAAACCAGTCAAGTTCTATGATATTTTCTTAACAAAACCATTTCAAATAATTCTCCGTTTCCTCAAACTCAAATGCACAAGCAAATCTAATCAATTCATTGGACCAATTAAGCTACAGAGACAGAAACACCAATTTTTCGAATAAAAAACTAGCAAAAGAAAATTTTTCATATTTTTTAATTCTGGCAAAACTTAAACGAACGAATCAATTATTGGATTCTGTTTCTATGTTTTTATCTTAATAAATGATCATTTCTTCTACAAGTATATTCCATGAATCATCATTACAGAAAAGTAAAACATGGAAAAGCTGTTCTGTTGGTTCAAAGCATTCTCCAATAAAAAAATTATTATACTGTAGGATATTTATTTTCTAGTTTTACATTGAATCATATATTAGCCCATGGATCTAAATATGCCGAAATTTGTAAAAATAATTTAATCAAATTTTAATTGATATTTTAACGAATTTTTAATTATTTTTCCAATATTTTACACTGTACACTAGCGACATCTATCGAAAAAATTGCCGCTTCGCGGCGCTGCTCGCATCTAGGCATTACTACCAACTCAGCGACGTGTAAAATGTATGGAAGTCGTACAATATGGGTGTTTTGTTATCTTTATTACAATACGGTTGCACATCCAACAAAATAAAATAAAGATCGATTAAAAATTAATGAAGTTCACACAAGCACAAATGACTAAGATAAAGATCAAGACTACCACTAAGATAAAGATAACTAAGATAACGACTATCAAGATCATAACCATCAAGATAACATGTGGCACCAGCACGCCTCTCAAAAAGATCGCAAATACGATCATTGCGCCAACGGTCCTTATCTTTTGGTTGCCAATTCTTGTAATTGCATGTCCAATTCCAAGTGGCTTGATTGCCAGTAAAATGCCAATCACGACACTTGTGACACCGAGCACAAGAACGGCCTCTACAATTTAGTTTCTTACTAGGAACATCGAATTCTTGAGGCTCTAAATAAAAATACTAAGTTACACTGTCATACGCGGAAGAGATTGTGAGTTTAGTAAATTCCTAAAAACTAGTGCATGATTTCAATGAAATTTGTGAGCATATCGTAGCAAAATACTTTTAACACATGATAACATTTTCAGTAGTGAATAATGGGACGAGCCGACGAAAGTGCGAATTTTAATACAAATATTCTTCATTCAACATAAAGTGATGCATTTCACAGGGAGAAAGAACTGAAGAATATAATTATATATCTATCATTCACTATTCTTTGTATATTTCGGTTCTAACGGACACTGCTTTCTTGTGTGAGTGTCGATGCAGCTCTTAGACCACATCCATACACCTAGATCAACACTGTCATCAAAACTTGCATGCACATGGGTACCATCACTTCATTTTACATTCTCTCAAAGTGTGAATGCGGCGGCATGTCTCCAACACTTATGGCATTCTATCTTACTGGGAGAGAATGTGAAATACAGTTTTAAGTTTTTCAATTTCGTTGAAAATTTATTGACTTCATGCATATCTCAGGACTAAATTTTGGAAAAAATCTGACAAAAGAAAACGACGATAGTATTAGTCTCAAGTATCAACTATAAAATGAAAAGAAAAGAATAGAATTTTTCAGTCGCAGCCGTCGAATGTTGTAGAAGATTTTAAAAGACGTAAAATGGGTACCCTCACTTTGTGCCCAGATTCCAGTATAATGGCATTTCATAGCATGAAGTTTCTCTTCTCAGATAAGAGTTTAGAATCAAGCAAAAATTGGATTTTTCACAGAATTCTTGGTAGAAGCTAACAGAAATTGAAAAGCTGACCATTCTTTTGACTCAAGTATTTTTTGAATGTTGTTCAAGACTTAACGTCGAAAGCGACTCTACGAGCAATAGCTATTTTAAAATGACACTCTAGAGAGTACGATTAATGAAATATTGCATATATAAGACTCATCAACTTCTTTACGTCGAATACACTCATTCAGTTTCAGTTATTTTTACTTTTAAAAACGCCATTTAAATTCACATTATTTAAAAAATAAAGCAACGAACTTATCCAAAAAGTCTATAAAACATCTTTTCAACATATTAAGTTGATATCTCAATTTTTTATCTTTGAAATGAAAATCACGCCTAGTTAGTTTGATTAGGAAGCAGAGGTGTCCACAGGGTGATTTTTTTCATCCTGCCCTGTCCTGTCC